TCGTCAAGTACTTTTATTCCTTACCGGTACTCCGACCCGACCTGTTGTTCCCCTGTCCTTATCTCCTTTCCAGTCTCCCATTTCCTTCCTATTGTAATCTTGAAATGCGAAACCAGTTGAAAATTAGCAAATAGTCGTACATCCGTAGGTAGTGACAGTGATTGTGGGTAGTGACTGTAGTGAAATAATATTATATTCGTTTCCAATCCTTCAAGTTCAGGTTTCAGTGGGTCGGTAAGTAATTCAAGTAATACACAGAAAATATTTTTTAATTCTGATAATAAAAAGTTAGAATTGTATTAAGCGTCGAGTAGTGAATAACCAAAATCGAATAAATATATTTTCATCAACACTCATCGGTGATTGTTCTGCATTGTTAACGAAGTTCGCTCGAATAAACAACTCTCGACAGAGATTCCATTGTCAGTTCGAGAACAAAATCGGCGCTACGAACAATAACATACTCATTTCTTTGAATTGTAGGGTACCATTAGGCTCCGAATGCGAAGGATTTAAGAAACACGCAATATTTTCCCATTTTGCTTCATTAAATTTATTTCTGCTAAATAACCTTGATCAATAATGTCGAAAAAAATCAAGGGACATAACGCATTTTATTACTTCATGCTCAACTGGAGAGAGCAGCAACGAACGCCGAATCGAAGTTTGAAAGACATCGCTAGTGATCCCAAGTGTACCGAGGATTGGAAAAAACTCGATCCGACGCACAGAGGCGAGTATGAGGCTCTCGCGAAAGACAGGAAAATTCAAGCTCAAGGAAGTATAAATAAATACACGACACTCGGGGAAAGTTTGGTCGAAATAGAAGAACAGGAGAGACAAGAAAAGGAGCTGATTGAAAATATGAAAAAATACATATCCTCTGTCATTTCGATTGGACTGAGGCATGAAAATTTGGAAAGCATGAAGTACATATTCATACATGTTAATTGGTTCTACAGGAAACAAATAGGAATTAACAAGACTGAGTACGGTCCCGCCGAGTTTGCAGTAGCAGAATTTAGTATAAAGGGTGGAACAGAAAACGTTTACCATGAAATATTGAATATACCAATACCATTAGGATATAAGGGAGAAGCCCTTGCAGTTAGTGCAGATTCACACCAAATACCCATAGATTATGCAGATGGACAGAGCGACTTTCGATTAATGTATATGAAATTGGTCAGCTTTTTGGAATCGAATATGACTGGAAATAAACTCCCACCACTGTTCACTACCAACAATTTAAAGCCTGCTGTGGATTCATTGTTACTTAGGATGTGCGACGCTGCTCAAAAACCAATCGAAGATTTCAAAATTTACTCAATAGAAGTATTATTCAGTGAAGTGTTAAACGCAGTTTCAAAAAACATTCAAGGCGAAAGTCCTGTTCCGATCGCCGTCGCTATATTAGAATTCGAAAAAGATATTTTCGCTTATACGTCCGGCTCTGAGTGTGACTTTCATAAATTCCTGGACAACACTGCTCAGTATTGTAGTAAATCGATAGTCACACGATGGGGATATACCATATGTGACTATTGTTGCAAACATTTGAATGTCAAGGTGATTGAAGGTATTCATTACCCGGCATGTCAAAAAGAAGATGAGGCCAGCGGTACTGATGTTGACGAATTAGCGGCACGTATGGAATGGTTAACTGCTGGTAAGAAGAAAAAGAAGGATTTAAACGGCGTATCTGACAGTCATCGACTGAAAGTGTCCGCGCGTTCATACACGCAAGAACAACGTAGACGCGAGGAATCCAAGCCACTGGAAATCATTGACCATGGCAAAATTAGTGCAACTACTTCGTCGGAGACGGACACTGAGCGTTTGCCGCAGCGGCCGCTGCGGTTGCCTAAAGTCATGCCCGCCTCTCTTCAAGCATCCAGTAATACTAATGACTCCTCGTATGAGGAGAGTTTTCCATCAATTGGGAGAGGATGTAGAAAAAACATGACGCCGAAGGAATTGAGATCTTTAGGAAGAGGACGCAGCTTTTAAACATTGACTACTTCAACGGAGTAAACACAGGTATTATTTTATGAGAGTTTGTTTACTGATTATTTGTTTGTTAAAAATATACTGGGTGGTTCACCTAAATTTAGAGTCCTAAATACCTCCTTCATTTTTCATGAAAATGTTTATTATGCTAAATGGTATCAAAAGATGAATGATGGATTTTGTTTTAAGTTATTTTTTATTTGTAAATGTATATTTTTATAATTAAGTATCCAAAATATCGAATATTGTATTTAAAGAGATATCTGAAAATTCACGGAGTTTATGAATTTTTATTTAACATAAATTATGGATCGTTTATGGAAATATTTTACACATACTGTTTGTATAGTAGTACATTTTTTNAGAATTGGAGAAATTAAACCTCATTGAAAATCGTAGTCGAAGGGATACTCCTTCAAATCTGGCAAGGTCTGAAAATTCGTGGACTTTATAAATTTTTATGTAACATAAATTGTGGATGTATATTTTTTCTTTTGCATATTGCAATTAGTATTCATACGCATTCAAGTATATTAGTAACAGGAGTCACTTAAAGTGACTTGTGTTTCCCAAAATTTGAATTTTGAAATTAAATATAAAATTCATTTCCACCGATACCACTGACTTTTAGTGCAAACATATAAGTCTGATATTTTAAGCCTGAAAACTTGATCCCTAATAATTATGTCAGTCATATTAAAACAAAATTCAGGTAAATTATTGCAAAGCATTCACCGTTTAACGCCATTTGAATAAAATATACTTTTTCTATCATCACAAATGAGGGAAATATTTAGGTGGACCGTCCTACTTATAAATACATGTATTGTATCTATACGTACACATTTCTTATGAGTAGCTGGAACAAGTACAACAGACTCGAGTATTGTATATTTACCACAACACGACCGTTGCGACAACCAAGGAACACGCCTATCTCTCTTCAAATGTATGAGCACAATATTCAACCATCCACTGACAATAATTTTCCAGCGATTGGGAATGAATTCAGGAGGAGTAAGTTAAAAGCAACTTAAGAAGATAATGACGGAAATGAGATCTCTATAAAGGGGATGGATGTTTTAAGCAGTGAGAAGAGAAACAACGAGTATTATTTTATTGTTTGACCAATGTTGTTTTATATTAGGTAGTTATTGGTTTCTTCAAAGTATATAATGTATTTATACGTAACTCGTTTCCTATATGAATTATGTACTATTTTTTTTACTGCCAATTAGTCAGAACATCGTTTTCGTACTATTTTTATACTCACTATAAATATTATTCTAAGCTGTTGAATACTGAGTATTATTAGAGTATAATGTAGTATTATTATACTGTATTTCTGTTAGCCATCCTTTTCTCAATATAGTAACATAATATTCACTAGAATTTAAACAGAACGTCCACTAATATTCTTGTCTTTCTATCATTGTGCCATAGTTTTGAAGGAACAAATAATTGTTTTTAATTTAGGGAAGTTGCTTCTAACTTTTTTATCGAGTAACTTATAAACAATCTTTTTGTCAAAAATAGGTAATTTGACGTTTAGAATTGATTTAACATTTATTGGAGTTCTTATTTTCATTTAAGGCGATGGTTCGTTAAAATCAGTGCAATCACTTGATTTCGTGTAACTTATAAGCAGCTTATAAGCATTCATAAAGGTATTAATATTAAATATCAATATAATACTATTAATAAAATAATAATTAATAAGAATAAAAATCAATATAATAATACTAATCTATATAATACACTTATAATTGTTCGATATTGACAATTTGTTACTATAAAATTTAAACACAACATCAACTAATGTTCTTGTCGTCACACCATTTTCTCACAGTTCCAAAATGTTTTTAATTTACTAAAATTGCTTGTAACTCTTTTATTGAGTAATTTATAATGAGTACTCTAATCATCGATTCATACTTAGACAAATTTAATCGTTAATTGTTAATGCATCTGTTAAAAAATCTGCAATGACACTGGTGTACGTTTAGACAAATTTGCAGATTGAAAGTAGATTAAAGGCAGATCTTGCAGCGATCTTCATGGTTCACTTTACATTACATATAAACGACCACATGAGTTTTAGATTGGCCGCAGAATCTGTTGTCATTGAAAATCACAGGTTTTATAGGAGTCGTAGTGTGAATACTCTGTTAACAGTGTTCAATGAGGCCGGAGCTGTACGATCTTACATCTACTTTTTGGAATCGCATTTAACAGCATTCTAGAATTCGTTGCGTGAATCAAGGGTCGACGAACGAAATCATGATGTATCGAGTGCCGCTAGTGACTCGAAGCCCTTCATGGTAATGAGTTAACCGGCCGGGATGCATCAACATCCAGCCGGGTTTCGTGCCCGTCACGGAACAGTTGTACCGAATGAATCTGCACCCTCCGCCCTCGTAATCGACGCCCACTTTGTTCAACGCTATGTTAATGGTGTAAGTAGAACTATCGTGGTGTGGCTTCAACGACGGTTGCTCATCCGGTCGATATCTCACGACGAAGTTCATCAACGATCGTGGTGGCTAAGAATTTAAATGAAACGGTCAATCATTTTCATTATTAGTGATGTTTACACGTTTATGGGAATTTTAATTGATTTAAGGATGTATTGGCTGTACAGTCAATCCCAAAAGTTTATGCATTTTAGAAACGCATTTTTTAAAAAGAAA